CCTTACTAGTAGTAACAGGTGCCTTACTAGTAGTAACAGGTGCCTTATAGGAACTTTTCTGCAAAACGTTTTCCGTGTCTCCAAACGTCCGAACTTTGCCTCTGAATCGTGCGGCCCCATACTGGCTTTAAACACATGCTCTCGTTGGATATGACTTCAAGGATATCCACTTGCACCTTTGCCAAGTGGCCGAATAGATGATATCTCCTCAGAAAGGATTCCAAAAAAAGCACCATGAAAACATCAAATGTATCCTTTTAAATGTGAGCAGGTAAGCATCGAAGTTCCCAAAAGTTAATATGCGCTTGCTTTCAATCTTCCACTTTCGTGACTGCAACAACAAACATTTCGTGAAAGGCTCTCGTTACCTGGCACACGCAACCTTTTTCTGTGTCTCCAGATTCACCCTCTGACACTGTCTTTAATCAGTTCGCAAGTCTGTCGGCAGCTCACTTCTTGTAACTGGACCAAGCAAGAGGAAAGGAGAGTAGGTTGGAGGCCATCGCTAGTAGTAACAAGGGCATCGCTACTAGTAGCAAGAACGCTACTAGTAGCTCCTAGCATTTCTGCTAGTAGCAAGATCGCTACTAGGTTGAAGGCCATCACCAGTAGGGTGGAGGCCCATCGCTACTAAAGCGAGTTCGCACTGCCAAAACGGATCAGGCCTTCAACAACTTGTTCGTATCAGCAAGGGGTAGAGCTTAAGACCACGACTGTCAAATCGTCTTATAGCTACTTGCAAGCTAGGGAACCCAAGTGACGAGATTTAGAACAATGACTGAAGGTAAGGGCCTCTGCAGTTTCGACACGGGCATCTCGAAATATGACCAATTTCCAAAACCAGGTGATAGTAGAATTGCTACCAAACCCCTGCTACAGTACCCTAGTAGCTTCTTGTTACTAGTTGAAAGCATGCTCCTAGTAGCAATGCCAGGAGCCCCTAGTAGCTTCTTGTCTTGTTACAGTACCACGTCATAAAGCTCCTTTTCAACCGTGGCAATGTTTGGTCGAATATGCCTGTACTCATGTCTCTTTGGAGGCCATCGCTATGTCGGACTGCTCTGCCTTCCCTATTCAGCCAAGTTTCTGCATGTCTCTGCCCACAACTCCACCCACACATTGCCCATCTGGTTCGAAGAACAGACTAGCAAAACATGCGTGTTGGCCTAAAGCCCACATAAAACACATCTGAGTATCATAAAGTCATATAAATAAAGTCATAAAGTATCTGATTCCACGTCTTTCCAATCTTAAAGATCCCTTTGTTCTTCAGAGCCGTTCTGATTGGCGAGCGGTTCCTCTCTGTCCAGACTCTCCAGTCTCTCGGCTTCTGGCTGTGGACGCCAGCTCTGAGTCGGACCTCTTCTCCTCGACGCAAGGACCTGAACATGTCTTCGGACCTAGTAGCGTTCTTGCTCCTAGTAGTGATGCACTTGTTACTACTAGCGATGCACTTGTTACTAGTAGCTTCTTGTTACTACGTAGTAGCGATTCACTGTTCCTAGTAAGGCCAGGGGCCCCGTTTGTAGCGTCC